AACAAAATCCTGAACTAAACTGGAGCTCAAATATATCTCCTGTTGTTTGGAGAGAAATAAACTGAATTTCTTAAAATAAAAACATAAGACCCGTCATGTGTATCAGTGAAGCCTTCAGCCAATCACAGCAGAATTGTTGAATCCAGCTGCTGCAGCTAGAGGACAACATCTGTCTGACTGCAGACAGCTCGCTTCTGACATGTTTTAAAGTGATAATGTTCTGCAGCGATGGAAAAAGTCGGACAAAAGTTCAAGCCTGCACACATCACAATAAGCCAGCGCTGCTTACAGACACATAAAGGTGAACAAAGGGTTAACTCTTACCCATCATCATGATTCAGTCTCCACCTGCCTCATGACCTCAGTTCAGAGTCTTTCAGTCTGTGTGAGAAGGTCATGAACAGGTGACGGGTGAGACAGTCTCTACAGTAACATGATAATTATCACTGAAGAGCTTTTAGTGAGACAGCTGCACAATTTACAATCAAAGTGACTCACACCGAAACCCTGAACCTGCTGACAAAGATAAAATCTGTGAAAACCTTTTACCTTTTATCATTGCTCTTTCCGATGAATGATTTCATTGACTGAAAAATACAAACAAAGTTCATTTCAAATTGAGTGTTTGTGCTCTACTGTCCCTGTTGAGGGAAACAAGACAAGGCCAGGGACTAATACAACTGGACCTGTTCCATTAAAGACAGGTTGAAATGGTTCCAGAATGCTCCACCATCCTCTTGCGCCGGAGCCTGAAGCATGTGTAATGCTGGCAGCACGGAGACAGGAGTTCGTCTGGGTCATGCAGGGCCCAACGGGAGGCACCATTCCAAGTGGAAGGGGTGGAAGTGTGAGGAGGTGGGAGGGAAGACGTGGGAGGAAGACTGCACCAATGGGGGGTTTCCATTGACCCAGACATTGTAGGACTGTGTTCGCAGAGGCAGGGGCACCCTTCTCATTAGTCAAATTATCAAAACTCACCAACATGCTGGCCAACTTTTAACATAGGGTTGTGTTTGTGTGTGTGTGTGTGTGTGTGTGTGTGTGTGTGTGTGTGGGTTAGGGTTAATCCTAACCCACATGCACTTCACCTGTTATTTCCAATATTCCACAAGAGTTTCACGTTCCATCATTATTGCTTTGTTTTTCTTTCTTATCTCTTATGACAAAGCTATAACTTGTATCTAGAAACGTGTGTGGAAGTGTTTAAGTGCCGGTTCTAGTTCTACACCTTTGTACAGTGCGCTGTGTCAACAATAAATCATTTTGTTATTAGGAATAAACCTTCCTAACCCCGCCAACGTATTTTAATGTTGGTCATTACAATGGTACTTGAAAAACCCTTATATTTTCTGAGGGGGTACATGGTGAAAACATTTGAGAACCACTGCTCTGACCCTAACCAAAAAAAATGGATATAAAGGAAGAGGAAATTTACCTTATCTCCTAAGACTACAAGAAACACAGCTGGAAGTCATTCTATTACCACTGTGAGACTGTGGGGCAGATGGAATTAGTTAATGAAAACTGAGAGAATGGTGTAACATGCTAAACAGATGTCTTGTTTGTTCTTTATGGC